CCCCAAAACCCCAAAACCCCAAAACCCCAAAACCCCTTTTTCGATTTAATTAATTGGAATATCGATGGGTTTGACAAAGAGTCTTTAAATAAATACTAATAAAAAGAGGCACCCATCAATGCCTAATTTCAGCCTAAAACACCCTTAGTAAGGGAGACTTCTTCTGGGCCTGAGATGGATCTGGATTTAGCGGGATTTAGTTTGAATAGGATTCATGAGGCTCTCGAAACTTTTGCACTCAACTTAGAGTTGTGCATTCTGCTTGGTCTGAGATCTGACGCTCCATTACAAAGACTCTATCTGAGTAAGTCTTGACCTTGACTTCGAGGTAGATGTTTCTACCAACAAGGGCTAGAATAGCAACGAAAAATAGAATGATTAGTGCTGTTCTAAATTTCTTGATGTATTTGGTAATCATAGGGATCGCATTCATTTCTACAGATGGAGTTTTAGTGTCGAGAATGTCATCAGGAAGATGGATTATCTTATTCCTCCTATGCTTCTTGCCTTCCTCAAGATCAGTTTGAAGGTTCGTTTCATAGATGTTATCGATATCTTGCTCAATGATTTCTATTCTATTTGGTTCATCTCGTGAAGCAGAATAACCTGAAGGAGTCTCACATCTTCTATTTCTAAAAGGGTTTTGGTAGTTATGGATCCTCTCCAGAATTGCTTCCAGAGGGACTTCTTTGCTTGCCTCTGTGTATCATTTTTCCTCATTCTTTGAATCTAATTCATCAGAGATGTTCTTTCTTTCAATAGCATAATTGTGTATATGAAGTTGTTCTGGAGCAGCAACAGATTTCAATCTTGGATGAAAGAGTGAAAAGCGTTTTCTCTCTTCAGAACAGACATTATTTCCTCTCCTGCGTGGAAAAGATCGTTTTTGCATCACACTTATCGGTGATTTATGACGCCTTTTATTTTGGCTACCATTCTTTTGTTTACACTTAACCTCTTCATCTGAGGAAGAAGACTCTTTAATGGTGACATACTCAGTCTTCATTGTGGTCTGGTCAAGGAAATCGAGAAGAATTTTTCGTTTTTGGATGTCGTCAATATTTTCGACCACATTTCTAAGCATATAGAATTTTTCAGACTCTTTTTCGCTCCTTAGTTTTGTAACAATACTATTACTCCTTTGAGTTGTGAACTTCCGCGCAGGTGCTTTATAAGCTTTACTTTTGTTCAAGTCACTTTTGAAGGGATTAGAGTATATCGAAGAAGAATCAAAAGAAGCAGGAGAGGTATAAGTCCTACTCCCGAACAAATTCTGAGGAACTACTTGACACCCATATGGAGATCTCCTAATAACATTCTTTGAGCTTTCAAAGGGAAGGTCATCCTGTCGGTGACTTCTTACTTCATCCTGATCAATATCGAGAGCGCGTTCATTTTCAGGGAATGCAGAGTAGTTGCAACTATCAACTTCGTATTCCTTAATCGTGCCTAAATCTTGATGAAAAGTCTTGTCTCCGTTGAGATTGTCCATTTTAAACTTTTAGGAATAATAATTATATAACACCAAGGTAAATTTTTCATTTGCATCAGCTAATAATGGGGTTTTGGGGTTTTGGGGTTTTGGGGTTTTGGGGTTTTGGGGTTTTGGGG